TATTTATTTAATATTTGTTGATTATATATTATTATTGGTCAATGTAAGTATTAAAATTCATCCAGCTGATACCAATACAGATAATCACCAATTAGTGATATAACATTGACTAAAGACTTTCTTTAAATACTGATGCCATCTTAATTGTTTAATTTTCTCACTATTTAAAATAAAATTTTAAAAATTTGAAATACCTCAAGATATTTAGACAGACATTTCCTTCAAGATCAATATTTGGATGATAAACTGTTGTCTCACACTTCACTTTTGGAGGTTCATGTGGATAATTAGGACTTACCCTAAAGCTGAATATAAACCTTCCATTTCTATAAAATCCCTGAAAATAATAAGTAAGTATACTTAATAATTTTCAATAAATAACGATTATCTTATTCCATATAATTCAGCCAATCAGCTTATTAGAATCTAAATAACATACATTAAAAATCTGTAAGTTGCATACTGAATTACATTAAAGTTATAATCACAAAAAACTTTTTTTATTAATTCATTAAATTGGTATTATTTATTTATAGTTCATTTAAAAGTACTATATGTTTATAATAAAAAACACTTAGTTTACAATAAAATATTACAATTATGGATACATACCATAAAATCTGTATTAAAATATGGTTATATGACAGTTGCATACAGAGGTGTAAAATGTAAATTAGAAATATAGTGAAGCATCAAAAACCTGACTAATTGAGGTCAAAGTCCATCCAGATTTTCAAATACAGTAGACCCCCTATAACGTGGTAGCTACATTTCACTTTATAAGAATTTCACGTTGTAGGAATCCTTAAATACATGAGCCAATCGCAGCCCGACACGTGTGAAGTTTACGGACTACGGCTGTTTGAAAGGTTTTCTTCCATAAAATTAATTGATTCTAGACTAATTCGACTAAACATTTCCAAAACACATAATTTTTTTGGGAATAATCTGTATAAACTATGCTATAAACAAAAAATTGTAGGATTACTTACCAAGTGTACACCGTTCAACATTGCAATTGCTTAAGCTTGTTTTCGGCATGGAGCAGCGCACCAAATGGCGCCCACGATTTCTGATGTTATTTTTCTGCGAAAAATTTGTTGACCTTTGGAGACATCATTAATATAAGTAATTTTTATGGCTGTCGAATAAGAAATGTATAAAATTACAGTACTGTATTAGACTTATGGTACCTAATTTACATACTGTACAGATGATAGTAAACTCAACTTATTCGCCTAAACTCTCTGTAGCGTGTAAGTAGTTCGGCTGCTCGTCTACTATTGGTCCAGATTCGACCAATCCTGTTGCAACACGAGTCGGCGACGATGTTTTAGGAGTCCCTTTTAGCGTCTTTATACAAATACTGTCGCAATTTTTTCGCCACGTTATAGGAATCTCCGTTATAGGAACCCGCGTTATAGGGGGGTCTACTGTATTCTTGTAAATTACCATTTTAAGTATATAAACTCCAAATATAGTGGTAAGCTCATACTTTAAATGCTTCAGAGTTTGAATGCTAAATTCGAGAAAAATTCACTTTGGAGTTCAATGGTTCAAAATTTGAACTGCATGGATAGCGAAAAATGTACTTGAAGTGCAAGTGCAATCTGTTGTGTGCCCAATTTGTCTGTCACTCTTCTGTTACACTTGTATGTTTTCAATGCTTTTTTCATTTTATTTTTGATATTTGGTTACATATATTATGTGTCATTTGTAATTTTTAATTTTCTTCTTGAAATAAATTTCAACAGCTTTTGAGTGCCCATGTTTTATATCCTTTAATTCAAAATTTGCTGAATGGAACTTTTTAAACCATATTTGACCTGTTCAAAGCTCAAGAGCATCTTTCTCATACACATTACAATTTTTTTACTGCTTGTATGGTATTATATCCTTTCTAAAACTCAAAGCAATGATACATTTATATGCTTTCAAGTAATTGTCTTTGTATTTAAATAATCTTAACAGTTTTTTTTTTTTAAACAGACAATGTCATTTTTCACAATTTTCATTGAATCATATAATTATAATAATTTTTGCTTCACTCAGTGTCTCTGTAGGCTATAAAAAATCACTACATTTCCAAACAACACAATATTATAACTTGTATTTCAAATAAAACCCTCCCACAAAATTTTAAATTTTACAAGTTATTTTCTATTTAAATAAATAAATAAATACACACTTACTTCATCTGGACAGATGATTAATTTGAAATTAAGAAGGTCATCAGGGTCAGGAAATTCTATCTGGCAAGTTTTCGGTAAATTCAATTCATTAATGTCTATAAAAATTACAAATAAAAATTTGTCATGAACAGGGTATAAATAATAATAATTTTAATTTAAAAATATATCTGCACTTATTAACAAAAAAACCATTAATTTTGGAAGTAATAAAATAAAGAAAAATAAAAAAGAATTTTTTTCAGTAATACTAACAGTAAATTTAAATTTTATGATCATTATAAAAACTAAACAAAGTGAATTATATAATTTTTTTGTGCTGAATATAAAAAGCTTTTTTATATCATATAAAGATTTTTTGCAAAACAATATATAAATATCTCACTTAGTCTAACTTCATTTAATTCAGGATTCATTATAAAGTGGTTTATAATATGCAATCATTCAAGCAGTGAATTTTGGTTTGATTTAACAAATTACAAAATTTTCTGCTACAGGTAATGTAACAGTATTTTTCTTTTTAGCTGTATGGTTCACTGCCAATTTGTCATGTTTAATATGTTGTTTCTATTGTTCTCTTGCCTGTACAAATAGATATTTATACTGTACTAATAAAATAAAAAATATATTCAATCATTCACTACAATGCAGTCACCACCAAATCTAATACACACAAAANATTTAAAAATATACGGCCAGCTAGTATTCACCCTACTATAAACCCATCGCCTCCCGAGACTTCTATGAGAATGTCCCAAGAAATCCAACTCCAGCTGTGTTCAAGGTCACCCAGCTGTGTAAACAATGACTCATCAGTGTCAAATTTCACAGAAAGGCGAGACAATGGAAAATAAAGTTTGAAGCTTTTTCTTGAAAATTAACGCATTTCTTTCATTTTTAAGTATTTTTTATGTTTAATTAAACATTAACATTAATAATTGCGGTGTACGCAACGGCGTATTTATACGCCGGCTGTCAAGAACGGGTTAAAGTTAAATATGAATGGATATCAAAAAGCTTTCTAATATAGTAGTACATTTGCATTTCCTTGTAAGCAATCAACTCTTAGTTTTGTGATATCTGCCATATTGATTTACAGACATCATAGCAGTTATTTTCTATTGAGTATTAATTAACTTACTATTTCTGTTCACACCAGTAGAAGTTGAAAACATTTTTAATTTGATTTTTTGGGTCTTTAGGCTACAGAAATGGAAAATATTTCTGCAGTATGTTTTTTTTTTTAGATGGGAACATTACCTTTACAATTTAAAAGAATTATTATTTTGATATGTCAATTTGCAAGATTAACTAGTCAGGCAGTCAGTAAAATCAGTCAAGTGGAACAACTGACCAAAAAGGCTTGAAAAACACACCGATTTTCCTATAATTTTAAATAAAATAATAAAAAATAATTTAAAACATCAATTTTTAAATACAGGTAACCCCCGTATAACACGGTAGTTACGTTCCAAAAAATTGCCGTGTTATGCGAATCCGTGTTATACGAAACAAAGAACTAATACAAAAAGGAGGGTTAGGTTCCAAAAGTTAAAAAACATGCTAGTATATTTTCATAATTAAGATAAATATCTTCATTAAAATTTTTTAAAGTGATACATATTAATATAAATTAAACAATATTTTCTTCGTCATCACTAAAAACACTATTAATTAACCGAGAGCGTTTTCTTTTTGGCAAGTTATCCTTATCCTCTGAGCATTTTTCTGCATTATCTTCAGATCCATGCTTTACCTTTTGCAAAATGTATGTAATTTTAGATTGCTTGCTTCTAGTTAAAAGGTCTTTATAAATTTCCTTATATGGTGCTAAGCACTTATGAAGAATAAAGCAAGTATGGAATAAGGGAAAAACATTCGGCAACATCAGAAGCAGAAGCGTCGTGATCTGGCAACATTGAAACAAGTTTCGAGAACGACCATCTGTATCGACAGAAGGCGAGAAGAGAAAATTTACATACTTAAGTACTAATAGTTCACGAAAATAATAATTTTCGTGAACTATTATTACTTAAGTATGTAAAAATTTATTACATTTCATGTTGTACGACGGTTTTACCCAATTCTCAAACTGTGTCAGAGTAAATCCGTGCTATAGAAGTGCCGTGTTATACGGGGGTTACCTGTATTCTGCTTCAATATCACTTTTCTACATATATTGCCTAACTGTTTAACTTTTGTATCATTCTTATTAAACTAAATATTTATTAATTATTTTTTCAAGTCTACATTATCTTCTTTTAATATGTAATTAAATTTCAAAAATTATATAACAGTTAATATATGTAAATGGTAAATGAATTCTAGATTAATTAGTTTTAAATTAAATAAAACACACAACAATATCAACAAAGATTGATTATGATGAAAATTACATATTTGGTTGTTAGCAATAAAACTAAATTTAAATGACCATATTGTTTATTATTCATAAATAATTGATAAGCTTCCAATATATTAATAAAGAAAACAAAGATTTAAGTCTTCAAATATTTTCATAAAATCAATAACTGATACACTTCATTGCTTTATATGCATATTTTAATTCATAAAAACTTTTAATAAATTTATTTACTTGAAATTAATTACATTTTCATATTTATTTAATATTTGTTGATTATATATTATTATTGGTCAATGTAAGTATTAAAATTCATCCAGCTGATACCAATACAGATAATCACCAATTAGTGATATAACATTGACTAAAGACTTTCTTTAAATACTGATGCCATCTTAATTGTTTAATTTTCTCACTATTTAAAATAAAATTTTAAAAATTTGAAATACCTCAAGATATTTAGACAGACATTTCCTTCAAGATCAATATTTGGATGATAAACTGTTGTCTCACACTTCACTTTTGGAGGTTCATGTGGATAATTAGGACTTACCCTAAAGCTGAATATAAACCTTCCATTTCTATAAAATCCCTGAAAATAATAAGTAAGTATACTTAATAATTTTCAATAAATAACGATTATCTTATTCCATATAATTCAGCCAATCAGCTTATTAGAATCTAAATAACATACATTAAAAATCTGTAAGTTGCATACTGAATTACATTAAAGTTATAATCACAAAAAACTTTTTTTATTAATTCATTAAATTGGTATTATTTATTTATAGTTCATTTAAAAGTACTATATGTTTATAATAAAAAACACTTANCTACAACTTCGGTTGTTGTTCGGGATACAGTTCAGGTTTTAACAAAGTTCAAGCAAATACATAATTAGCAAAAAAAAAAAATAATAAACAACGCTTTTTGCCCGCGACTGAAAATTAGACAGAATTAGATAACCCAACAAATAGGGTATAACATTTTTTGCAGAGCTTATCACACCAAGGCCGACTGAAAGAAGGACCAGAACTTTTATAAAAAAAGGGTGATCTTTAATAATCACTTATCAAATTTAGGTAAGTGTGCATTTCGGGTACAAGGACCCCTCATCAGCTTACAAACACATGGTAACAACGTAACAAATACAAAACCAATAACCTGTCAATACATCGGGATAACCCACGTATGCAGTGCACTGCATTTACAATTNTATTAGAATCTAAATAACATACATTAAAAATCTGTAAGTTGCATACTGAATTACATTAAAGTTATAATCACAAAAAACTTTTTTTATTAATTCATAAAATTGGTATTATTTATTTATAGTTCATTTAAAAGTACTATATGTTTATAATAAAAAACACTTAGTTTACAATAAAATATTACAATTATGGATACATACCATAAAATCTGTATTAAAATATGGTTATATGACAGTTGCATACAGAGGTGTAAAATGTAAATTAGAAATATAGTGAAGCATCAAAAACCTGACTAATTGAGGTCAAAGTCCATCCAGATTTTCAAATACAGTAGACCCCCTATAACGTGGTAGCTACATTTCACTTTATAAGAATTTCACGTTGTAGGAATCCTTAAATACATGAGCCAATCGCAGCCCGACACGTGTGAAGTTTACGGACTACGGCTGTTTGAAAGGTTTTCTTCCATAAAATTAATTGATTCTAGACTAATTCGACTAAACATTTCCAAAACACATAATTTTTTTGGGAATAATCTGTATAAACTATGCTATAAACAAAAAATTGTAGGATTACTTACCAAGTGTACACCGTTCAACATTGCAATTGCTTAAGCTTGTTTTCGGCATGGAGCAGCGCACCAAATGGCGCCCGCGATTTCTGATGTTATTTTTCTGCGATAAATTTGTTGACCTTTGGAGACATCATTAATATAAGTAATTTTTATGGCTGTCGAATAAGAAATGTATAAAATTACAGTACTGTATTAGACTTATGGTACCTATTTTACATACTGTACAGATGATAGTAAACTCAACTTATTCGCCTAAACTCTCTGTAGCGTGTAAGTAGTTCGGCTGCTCGTCTACTATTGGTCCAGATTCGACCAATCCTGTTGCAACACGAGTCGGCGACGATGTTTTAGGAGTCCCTTTTAGCGTCTTTATACAAATACTGTCGCAATTTTTTCGCCACGTTATAGGAATCTCCGTTATAGGAACCCGCGTTATAGGGGGGTCTACTGTATTCTTGTAAATTACCATTTTAAGTATATAAACTCCAAATATAGTGGTAAGCTCATACTTTAAATGCTTCAGAGTTTGAATGCTAAATTCGAGAAAAATTCACTTTGGAGTTCAATGGTTCAAAATTTGAACTGCATGGATAGCGAAAAATGTACTTGAAGTGCAAGTGCAATCTGTTGTGTGCCCAATTTGTCTGTCACTCTTCTGTTACACTTGTATGTTTTCAATGCTTTTTTCATTTTATTTTTGATATTTGGTTACATATATTATGTGTCATTTGTAATTTTTAATTTTCTTCTTGAAATAAATTTCAACAGCTTTTGAGTGCCCATGTTTTATATCCTTTAATTCAAAATTTGCTGAATGGAACTTTTTAAACCATATTTGACCTGTTCAAAGCTCAAGAGCATCTTTCTCATACACATTACAATTTTTTTACTGCTTGTATGGTATTATATCCTTTCTAAAACTCAAAGCAATGATACATTTATATGCTTTCAAGTAATTGTCTTTGTATTTAAATAATCTTAACAGTTTTTTTTTTTTAAACAGACAATGTCATTTTTCACAATTTTCATTGAATCATATAATTATAATAATTTTTGCTTCACTCAGTGTCTCTGTAGGCTATAAAAAATCACTACATTTCCAAACAACACAATATTATAACTTGTATTTCAAATAAAACCCTCCCACAAAATTTTAAATTTTACAAGTTATTTTCTATTTAAATAAATAAATAAATACACACTTACTTCATCTGGACAGATGATTAATTTGAAATTAAGAAGGTCATCAGGGTCAGGAAATTCTATCTGGCAAGTTTTCGGTAAATTCAATTCATTAATGTCTATAAAAATTACAAATAAAAATTTGTCATGAACAGGGTATAAATAATAATAATTTTAATTTAAAAATATATCTGCACTTATTAACAAAAAAACCATTAATTTTGGAAGTAATAAAATAAAGAAAAATAAAAAAGAATTTTTTTCAGTAATACTAACAGTAAATTTAAATTTTATGATCATTATAAAAACTAAACAAAGTGAATTATATAATTTTTTTGTGCTGAATATAAAAAGCTTTTTTATATCATATAAAGATTTCTTGCAAAACAATATATAAATATCTCACTTAGTCTAACTTCATTTAATTCAGGATTCATTATAAAGTGGTTTATAATATGCAATCATTCAAGCAGTGAATTTTGGTTTGATTTAACAAATTACAAAATTTTCTGCTACAGGTAATGTAACAGTATTTTTCTTTTTAGCTGTATGGTTCACTGCCAATTTGTCATGTTTAATATGTTGTTTCTATTGTTCTCTTGCCTGTACAAATAGATATTTATACTGTACTAATAAAATAAAAAATATATTCAATCATTCACTACAATGCAGTCACCACCAAATCTAATACACACAAAAATATTTATGACTATAGTTTAACAAAAAAGAAAAAAAACATAATTGTAAGTAAATGATAAAGCAGAATGTTCTTGCACAACTTTCCCAGCACTAATTTTACAAGGTTAAGATTATGTGTGGCACAATCTATTGAGAGATTTTATTAAAAAATAATTTTTATATTATTAATTATTAACAAAAGGTAAAAGATAATTCTGAGGGTAGAGATGAGTTTTAAAAAAAATTGTACTATACACTGCTTGCAGTATGTTGTCAATTTAGATTCAGAAGAACTGAAAAATACAGTTGCTAGCAGCTGCTCATTTTTTTTTGTTGTTGCATATTTTAAGTCTACTTCTGGCTTAATTTTGAATAATCCAAATGATGAATGCAGCATTAATTCAAAAGAGCATATAGGTGTTACTTTGTGTTATAAGCTTTGTATAGAAAGTAGGGAAGGTGATTATAAACACTAAGTAATTTCAATAAAAACATTTAATTAAATTTTGACTTTATATTGCTAGCTATACATTGACAGAATATGAATTTCTTTGACAACCAGATTCATGGCATAATGCATGGTATTTATAAGTAAGTCCAGATGGATGAAAATTCCACATCTTCATTGGACAATAAAGCATAATTTATTCAATTACTGGTAGTATGATTTCAAATGTGGTTGAAAAAGCAATTTTGACTCTTAAAAAAGTCCTGAAATTGAAGTGTTAATTAAAATTTGAGTACTTCTCTGAAAACTGCACTTGTAACAAAACCACAGTACTATTACTCAGACTTTTAACATGTGTTACAATTTTAATTCTCAAATGTTTTTGGTAAAATCCATTTGGTAAATAAAATTTTCATATAAATAGAAATAAATGTATATCTATATAAAAATATAATGTTACTTGGTTAAATTTTAGAATTCAGTTGTTAATTCTAAAAATTTTAAGTTGAGGATGGTCAGATTTGGACCAAAAACATTTCTTTCATTTAATAAAAAGTTGGCTTCCTGATATTAGCAGAATTTATTGCAAACTAGCTTACCCGTTGCGCATTGCTGCGATCTCAGAAGAAAGGAAATTCAAGCAAACTCGTTATGATAAAATTCAATTTACATTTTATCATTTTTATTGAAACTTATTATTATTCATTTTCATCGGGAAAACATTTCAAAGTGTCGTTTCAATTCTATTTATTTATTGGAGTGCTTGTGGATACACGATATTTTTTGTTTTTGTCTGGTGCGTACACGAATAAATCAGAAGGTTTTCCAATGCGTGAGCTGGCCACATACAGTTGTACATGTGAGAAGCACAGATCCTTTAAATTTAGCCCACATACTCACAGAGATTGCCAGAAGTGCAATATTCCCCATTTTTATATATATTTTTTAATCCTTTATAATTTTGATTATTTAATTGCTCCTTCCTCTCTTCCTTGGCATGTTGTGAAATTTCTGATAGTTGGATAATAAACCATTTTATTGTAATTTGTCTTTTTAAATTATTTTGAGTTGATATTAAAATTTG